TTAGTAATATTTATAACAAAAATGAGGGTTAAACAAAGGAAAAATTATTTATAAATTATTTGTCTAAAAAATCGGGGCATCCCAGTACAGAGTTTTGAAAAACAGTTCAGTTTATAATTATCACCTCAGTCAAGATGGATGAAAATTTTATATGTTAAATACTCAAGACGCCATTGACGATTTTCTTAATTTAGTTTCTGAAGAATCCATGTGTTTTATCAATAAACAAGAAGTAAATGATAATATAGATTCTACTTTTTATGTTATACAAACTATTTTAGAACCATTATTTTTACTCGAATTAAAAATTTATCCATATCATTGCGAAGAAGATCTTATTCATCAATATAAAACTACAGGTGGTTCTTTCTTCCCATACAGATATAAAAAAGAATTCAGTATATTTGGAAAATATCTTGCTAAAGCACAAATATTCAGTTTTATATTTGATAAAAATGGAAATATTGGATCGGAATTTGATTTTAATTGTTTCTGTTATGTTTTAAAACAAGCTAAAGTTGATAATGAAACTTTAGAATTAGTATTAATTCATTGAAGGGGACGTTATCAAAAAGCAAAATCATTTAATGAGTTATGTAAATCTTCCAACATTCGAATTAGAATTGATAGAGAGAATACAGATAAAACAAACAAACATAAAAATCGTAAAATAGATTATTATGGTTGTGAACTCAAAGATGTTATATATAATTTAGAAATGTTTTTATATCGTGATTCGGTTATGAAGGAAGATCATTACATCTTAAATATTGATATTCCTATTACTCCATTTTATCTTAAAAATAGAGAAGAAATGAATAAATAAGCAATTGATCATTAGAAAAGTATAGATTCTATGTTTAAAAAACAACGATATAATAAAGATAACCAATGTTATGAAGTTAAAGATAAAAATAATAGTTCTATCAAATTATCTGATCTTATTATTTATATTAGAGATCATAATGGATTCGAACCAAATTCTCTTTCTGATGTTCTTCATTTAAAATCGGATTTATCTGAATATGTATTACAATCATTAAATACATTAGAATACTTAACTTTCAAAACAAGAAATATTGAAGTAAAGGAAATAAACATAAAGAAGTAAATCACTCTTATTGGTATGCTGATTTTGAAGCTAGCACACAAGGATATCATAATTCATATTGTTTTTGTTATTCTAAAAGAGGTGAAGATAAGATTTATAATAAATATGGTAAAGATTGTGCTTATGATTTTTTATGTGATTTACCACATAATGATGTTTGTTATTTCCATAATCTTAAATATGTTGGTTCATTCTAAGTTAAATATGGTGTTAATAGATGTATTAAAAAAGGCGGTAAAAACATGCAAATGACATTAAAATTCAAAGGTAAACAATTAACTTTTAAAGATACTTATGCTTTAATTTCTACATCATTGGCATCTTTTCCAAAGATGTTTGGTTTATCTAATATTCAAAAAGAAATTTATCCATATAACCATTTCAATAAAGTTAATATTAATAATATTGGTACTATATTAGAAGCTGATTTATATGAAACTAAACAATGGACTGAAGAACAATTTGAAATATTTAATGAAAATATTGATAAAATTGAGAATTGTAGAATTGATGAATTTCATTTTGATATGAAAGCTTATTGTGTTTTCTACTGTAATCAAGACGTTAGAATCTTAAAACAGGGTCATTCTAAATTTAGATATATGTGTTTAGAATATTTAAATATTAATGTTGATAAAGTAATTTCAGCAGCTAGTCTAGCTAATACTTACTTTAAGCATAACGTTTATTCGAAAATAGATAATTTAAAGAATATGGAGGAAAAGTTAGAGAATTTATTCAAGGAGCTATTTATGGAGGAAGATGTATGATTAGAGATAATA